CCATTCAGACACAGATGGCAGGTGCGTGGCATTCATTTGAGGCTCATAAGAGAGAGTATTGTAGTACACACTATTAACGTTCGGCCCTCGTAACAATGCCATCCCGATTTGAAGACCCTTCACGACAAAATGAGACGCAAAGAGCTCAACAGACACACGGTTAGCTTTGCAAAGTTGTGAAACAGAAACTAAACTTTTGTGTAGCTGTGGAGCGTGCAGGACATTTTCTAGACTAAGGGCGGAAGAAGGGGTGGGAATTGTGGCATGACCAATGTGAGATATGTGTAAAGAGTTACCGTCACCCAAGCGTATTTGGTCCGGACCATTGTACTCGGAGAATGACCGCAAAGGAGCAGTAGTAGGAGTGATATTGGCAGTAGCCAGCACGGTTTGGCGTGCTCGGTCATCGGCTTGTAACTGACGTTCATGATCAATGAGAACATCGGCTAGTTCCGCTAAGGAAATAGGCTTCTGTCGGACGCAAACAACGGAGAAGATTGAATGATATTCATCCCCGAGCTGCGTTAGAATGTACACGACAAGGTCTTCATCAGAGACTGGGGACTGCGCCAACGCGAGTGCATCAGCGATGGATCGCATGTCATTCAAAAATACAGAAATCGACCGAGTACCTCTCGGATTTTGAGTGAGCTCCATTTTGAGGGAAAGTATACGAGCTCGGCTTTGAGACGCACTAGCGTAAGTAGTGGCTAGGCGTTGCCAAGCATCATAGGCTGTCGAAGCCGAAGACACGAGAGGTCGAATCGAGTTAGAACAACTCTCTAAGAGTGCACTGACGATGACTTGGTCTTGACGGACCCAATGTAAATAATCTGGGTTTGTGGCTGTTTGAGCCGAACCAGAAAACTTAGGCGGTTCTTGGACAGAACCATCAACATAGCCATGGAGGTTGAGGCCAATGAGTGTAGAGTGAACCTGGCGCCTGCAGACTGGGAAATTCGTAGGTGTGAGTTTGATAGGGAAGTGTGTAGTAGCGTGAAGCTGGACGACTTCAGTGGTGGCCGGAGTAGTTTGGGTGGTGGATGCCATTGAATAGGCAGGAAGCAAGGAAAAAAAAAATATTCTTTCGTAAGAGATTTTAGGCTCTGGATACCATATGAAGAAATGAACCAATATTTATTGATGAAGAAGCTAACAGGTATAAATAGTATATACAGGAGAACAAGTAGCTAAGAAGTTGTAACCACTACTCTAATATACCTATTCTAAAGGAATATAATTTGAATAAGTATAAACAGAAAACATCAACCACATATATTCTTAACATTGTCCACATGCAACAACCAAATATTTCAATCCAGCAGACCAATTATTCCTTTTTTTTTCAAGAACACAAAATAGTACATTAATACTTGAGTCAAATAAATTTATTAGTTAGATTTTGTTATAATAATAATATAATTATTAATCAAACCAAGTCAAAATAAAAAATGAAATGTGAGGTGTGTGATACGTGGATACGTGCGCAGCAGTAGGGCGTGGGTATTGCAACTCAGTACGTGGAAATGGATTTGCAATACATGGAATCATGGGAGCTTTACTTCCTAAATTCATGCTTTTGTTAGTTTTTTCATTCCCTATAAATAGTTAGCAAATATATGTTGAAGTCGTCAAGTTAAATTCTTTCACCCTTTTAATACAAAAGCTTTGGTTTCCTTCTCTTGAATTTCCTTTATATTTTCTCCTCTTAAATTATATATTATAGATATATTATTATTTAATATATCTTACATTTGATATCAGAGCCAATCAACCTTTCAACCCTGAGATATTTCCCGTAGTGAAATATGGCATCAAATTTCAATAGTATGATCGGGTCCCAAATTGGATGGGAAACTCGATTACAATTATTAGCAAATTATGATGACCACACATTTGAACGCTCAAAATCTTTGGAGATTTGTTGATCCCGGTTTACCCGAAGAAGCTGATGCAGCCGCTATACGGCGAGATCAATTGGCGTTGGGACAGATTCACCAAGGTGTTCACTATTTCATTTTTGGGCAATTAGCTTGTGCTCAAACAGCAAAGCAAGCTTTGGACATCATAAAGGTGTCACATAAAGAAGTCGATCGGGCGCAGAAATCCAAGTTGCAGTCATTGAGAAGGTTGTATGATAATTGTGAGATGACTTCTACAGAAACAGTATATACGTATTTCACTCGTCTTATTGATATGGTGAATAAGATGAGGTTATATGGAGATACAATTGAAGATGGTGCAGTGGTTGAAAAAGTTCTATGAACTATGTTGATGAAGTATGACCATGTGGTGGCTTCAACAGAGTCACACAATACCGAGCTCTTACCAATTGCAGAGCTGAAAGGTATGGTAAAAATTCATATTCACAAGATTGCGTCAAAATCTGAATCACTAGCAAAAGAAGCTTTGAAGAGCCAAGTCACCCTTAATGTGACTGGCACTAATCAAAGAGGTGGAGGATCTAGTAGAGGTCGTGGAAGAGGAAGATGAGGATCTAGTGGAAGAGGACGTGGTAACTCCAACTAAGGAAGAGGTAGAGGTAATAACAAATAAGTTAAATTTCCATTTCATTGTTACAATTGTAGCAAGTATGGGCACAAGATTGCAGATTGTTGGTATAATGAGGACAACAATCGGGAAAATCAAGCAAACATTGCTGAAAAGTCTGGTGAGAGTTCTAAAATTTTACTTTTGGCCAGTAATATTTTCTCTACAGAAAAGAACATATGGTTCTTGGATACTGGGTGTAGTAACCCTATGTGTGGGAAGGAAGATTTGTTTTCCGAACTAGATGAATCAGTTCGGCCTGAAGTGACATTTGTCAATAAGTCAAAAGTGCCAATTTTGGGAAAAGGTAAAATCTCTATTCAGTTAAAGGATGGTACTCACTATTTTATATCCGATGTGTTCTATGTTCCTGAACTACACCAAAATTTGATGAGTATGGGACAGTTGTCAGAAAAAGGATATAAGATAAATATTACTCAGGGGTGTTCTACCATTGCATATGCTAAGGGAGTTTTTTATTCCAAAGGTAAATATGTCCCAAAATCGACTATTTCCTTTGACAATCAAGCATACACTTCTTGCTTGCTTTAATTTTGAAATTTGTCATGATAATTGGTTATGACGTATGCGATTTGGACATTTCCATTTCTCTGGATTAAACTATCTTGCAAGAAAGGAACTTGTTTCTGATTTACCTGTTGTGAATGTCCCTGATCGTGTCTGTGAGATTTGTGTGAATGGGAAGAAGCATAGAGATCCCTTCCCCGTGGGCAAGTCAAGGAGAGCTACAAAACAGTTGGAGATTGTTCACTCAGACCTGTGTTCATTGGAGGTTCCATCACATGGAGGTTGTAAGTACTTTATTACTTTCATTGATGATTTCAGTAGGAAAACATGTGTTTACTTTTTGAAGCAAAAGTCTGAAGCATGTGATATTTTCAAACAATTTAAGGCTTTTGTTGAAAAGCAAAGTGGTTATGAAATTAAAATCTTGAGAACTGATAGAGGTACAAAATATATTGCTTGTGATGATTTTCTGAAGAAGAAGGGTATCCAGCACCATATGACAGCTAGATACACTCCACAACAAAATGGAGTAGCTGAGAGAAAGAATAGATCAATCATGGATATGGTGAGGTGCATGTTGAAATCTAAGAATCTGCCAAAGCCTTTTTGGGCAGAGGCTGTTGCTTGTGTTGACTATGTATTGAATAGGTGTCTAACTAAAAGTGTCCGTGATAAGACACTTGAGGAAGCTTGGTGTGAGAGAAAACCCTCTTTAAGATATCTCAAGGTTTTTGAGTGTTTGGCATATGCACATGTGCCAAATCAATTGAGAAAGAAGTTGGATGATAAAGGTGAGAAGTGCATATTCATTGGTTATAGTGACGCTTCAACGGCTTATAAACTATACAATCCTGAAACTAAAAAGGTTGTTATAAGTTGTGATGTCACTTTTGATGAATATGGTGCTTGGGATTGGTCAGCTAAAGATGAAAGGTCAATTGTTATTCCTGTTGTTGAGAATATTGTTGATGAGCAACCAATTCCAGATAATGTCCAGTCTCCTTCACAACCAGAGCCATCAGTTCGACGATCTCAACGCGAGCACCACTTACAAACTCGCTTGCAAGGTTATGTTTTGGGTCATGATAATGACCTGACTGATGAAGAGATTGTCCAATTTGCTTCTCTTTTTTTTTTTTTTTTTTTTTTTTTGCAGATTGTGACCCTTTATCCTTTGAGGAGGCTACTACAGAAACTCATTGGCTTAAGGCGATGGATGAGGAGATTCATGCCATTGAAAAGAATGGTACCTGGGAGTTAACAGATTTACCTCTTAGAAAGAAGGCAATTGGGGTAAAGTGAGTTTACAGAACGAAATACAAGTCAAATGGAGAAATTGACCGTTTTAAGGCACGGTTGGTAGCAAAGGGCTACAAGCAAAAACCAGGTATTGATTATTTTGAGGTTTTTGCTCCAGTAAGTAGACTTGATACAGTTCGAATGGTTATTTCTCTTGTTGCTCAAAATGATTGGAAATTGCATCAAATGGATGTCAAGTCTACTTTTTTGAATGGTTTTCTTGAAGAAAAAATATATGTTGAGAAACTTGCAGGCTTTGTGAAGAAATGGGAGGAAAATAAAGTCTACAAGTTGAAAAAAGCCTTATATAGCTTAAAGCATGCGCCTAGGTCACGGTATGGTTGCATTGACTCTTATTTTGCTGAAAATGGTTTTATGAGATGTCCTCATGAATATACTTTGTATGCCATATTCACTGAGTCTGGTGATATTGTTATAATCTGTCTCTATGTTGATGATCTAGTTTTTACTGGAAACAACTTGAAACTAATCTCAGAATTCAGGGAGACACTCATTAAGAGATTTGAAATGACTAATATGGGTCTTATGTCTTACTTTCTTGGCCTTGAGGTTGTACAAATAGATGGTGGAATCTATATTTCACAAAAGAAGTATGTTGCTGATATTTTGAGAAAGTTCAAAAAGGAAAATTCTAAACCAGTTTCAACTCCGTTAGTTGAAAAGTTAAATGTGTCCAAAGATGAATGTGGTAAGAATGTGAATGTTACAGTTTATAAAAGCTTAATTGGGAATTTGAGGTATCTGGTGGCAACAAGGCTGGATATTTCTTTTGGAGTTGGAATACTTAGCAGATTCATGGAGGAACCAAAAGAATCATATTGGGGTTCAGCAAAGCGAATTCTGAAATATGTCAAAGGTACGAGTAATGATGGAATTTTTACTCTACTAATGAAGTTGTGAAACTTGTTGGATATACAGACAGTGATTGGGCTGGAGATATTGAGACTAGAAAAAGCACATCAGGGTATGCCTTCTATCTTGGTTCAGCTATATTTTCTTGGTCTTCAAAGAAGCAGTAGATTGTAGCACTTTCAACCGCAGAAGTAGAATATATTGCAGCAGCAAACGGTGCTACTCAAGCAGTTTGCCTGATAAGAATTTTGGAGTTTTTACAACACAAGCAGGAAGCACCTACAACTATTTTCTGTGACAACAAGTCTGCAATTTCGTTGTCCAAGAATCTCGTCTTTCATGATCGCAGCAAACACATTGATATCAAGTATCACAAAATCAGAGGGTTGGTTGCTGAAAAGCAAATCAACATTGAATATTGTTCGAGTGAATGTCAAGTTGCAGATATCTTTACCAAGCCGTTGAAGACGGAGACATTTCTTAAATTGAAGAAGGAAATTTGGATGACCAATATATCCAACTTGGTTTAAATGAGGCAATGTTTTAATAATATTATTAATAATATTATTATTAATTAAACCAAGTCAAAATCAAAAATGAAATGTGAGGTGTGTGGTACGTGGATACGTGCACAGCAGTAGGGCGTGGGTATTGCAACTCAGTACGTGGAAATGGATTTGCAGTACATGGAATCATTGGAGCTTTACTTCCTAAATTCATGCTTTTGTTAGTTCTTTCATTCCCTTTAAATAGTTAGCAAATATATGTTGAAGTCGTCAAGTTAAATTCTTTCACCCTTTTAATACAAAAGCTTTGATTTCCTTCTCTAGAATTTCCTCTATATTTTCTCTTCTTAAATTATATATTATAGATATATTATTATTTAATATATCTTACAGATTTAAATTATTTAGTTCTTTATTATTGAGCTATATACATTGGAATTATGAATACCATTTCCCGTGTATGTTTCTAATGTGTTATACAGTAAATATTTATATATCTTAATTGTCTAACAACTTGAATATAGACTATTGCCACTAGATAAAGGTACTCTATGAAGAAAAATAAAATTAAAATTTACATTTCAATCCAAGAACGCTATAACAGACACACACACACAATTGTTTGTTCTTGTTGTATTTGGCTAAATTATGCAATAGAATCCATAGGAAACTAAAATCAATACCAGATATATATGATGGCAAATTATGCTGTGCATCTGTATGCACCATGCATGGTGCATACGGATGCAAAAACGACGTCGTTTTAATAAAACGCGCGTCTCTCCTTTAAAAAAAAAAAATCAGGTTCGATTCCCAGCAACAACATATGAACTAAAATTCCATAATCGATGAACTATAATTCCATAATCGATGAGCTATAATTCCATAATCGATGAACTATAATTCCATAATCTAATCTATGAACTAAAAATTCCAGAATGAATGAACTAAAATTCCATAATTTATAAACTAAAATTTCAGAATCGATGAACTACAATTCCATAATCTATGAACTATAATTCCATAATCAATGAACTATAATTCCATAATCTATGAACTAAAATTCCAGAATGAATGAAGAATATAATGTTGTTGCTGGGAATCGAACCTGGATTTTTTTTAAAGGGGAGACGCGCGTTTTTTAATAAAACGACGTCGTTTTGACATCCGTATGCACCATGCATGGTGCATACGGATGCACTGCATAACGATTGATATATGATCTTGCCTTCCTTTTGCCCCTATTGCACTTCACTATGAATATCAAATATATCTTGTAAATTTGAAAATGTGATTTCTGAACTCTATTTTGAAATTTGAAATGTGAATGTCTTCGTAACCACAAAATAATTAAGAAAAAATGGATAAAGATTCAATACATATCAGTTTTCATAAATACCTTGGTCCACAAAGGAATTGGAAGAGAAAGGCACGCCTTAATTCTTTGAAGCATTTGAGAAGATAGAAGCACATTCCACAATCTCTACTTGTAGAAGGTGGTTCCTTAATGTTTGACTCCATTTTGTCTACCACTTTCCATGATTCTTCTCTTTTGTTTATTCATTTTTTGCTTTTTTTTTTTCTTTTTTTTTTTTTTTTTTTTTTACAGGCGTGATTGTTAGGGCCTCCTCTACATTCTACCGTCTTTTGTCTCATCCACTGCCATGGCCATGAAAATACACGAATGGTGGGACAAATTGCTGCAGTTTACGCTCACATGGATTTGATCTGGGGTGTTTTATAGAAGAAAAACTATATGTATAGGTTTGCATTAATTACACTATTTTAGATATCGAATAGGCTTTCATCGGAAATTATTGTAATCCCAAGAGGCATCATAAATAACAAAATCATATCAAATAGACTTTCATTGTAAAGCCATAGATTTAATTAATACTACATCGTTTCCTATTTTCTATTAATCGGGAATCGAAATCCTTAATCATAACATCATAACATAACATTTAATAATTTCATTATTAATTCAATAAATGTAATCCTTTGTTATGGGCGGGAAAAAATAGCTATTTTATTTTCCAAATTTTGTAGTCTTTTTTATAGTAAGGATTATTATTATTATTATTATTATTATTATTATTATTATTATTATTATTATTATTATTATTATTATTATTATTTTCTATAAGGGCATTTATGTTTTTAAAACCTATTCCATTTTTATTCCTTCGACCAACCAAACACTGGAATACAATTTCTAAAGTCTATTCCTTCAGCGAACCAAACAATAGAATACAATTCATGTTCTATTCCTTACCTATTTCAATCCCTGTGCAATAGCATTCCTATTCCATTCCATGAACCAAACATGCTGTAAATTCTTGGCCATTACTCCCCCTTGGCCAATACTAACGAGAGCTGTCGAAACGGGCCAACGCGGCGGGCTAAAAAGCCCTTCAAAATATGGGCCGAAAATAGGTCGGCCCACTCCGCCCCGCGGGCCTTGACAGGGGCCCGCCAAATTTTAAAAAATTTAAATTTAAATAAAAATTAATATGAAAAAATTAATAAGTGTATACTAAAATAATTTGAATAGTTTAAACATATTTTAATTTATTTGTAATATGTTGAACACAATAATAACTAATATAGTAATAAGTTCTAATAAATAATTAAATACATAATATGTGAATCTATAAGGCAATACTAAATAATTTATACGATATACTACATACTAATACATTTATAAATTAATTAATTAATTAACATATACGGAGTATTTATATATATATAATTATATAAAATGATATATATATATATATATATGTATATATATATATTATGGGACGGAGGGATCGGAGTATTAAAATTATACAAGTAGTCAATTAAGTTGATAGACGTAAAGATAAAATATGAATTTGTCAATTTGACCAATCATTATAGTCCACACAGCTGTATGAACCATACTATCAAATAATATACCTTCATACAAAAATAATGTATTTTTAGTATTTTAAAATGTACATTGTATTAAGAAATAATATATTATTTGAATACTAAAAGTACATTATTTTGTATAATGTACATTCAATACACAATTAATAAACTTTTAATATATTAAAAATGTACTTTTTATTATGATTCACATAGTATTGTGTGCACCATAGTCAACGCAGTACATCCGACTTGTACATCTTAACCTAATAACTTACAAGTACCGATACTCCGATTGTCCGATATGATCAAGTGTAATATGTAAACCATAAACTCAAATATCAAAAGAATGATATATACAAAATTGGGAGTGGGTCAAAACTGATACAAAGCCCCCTTTCTTTAATGCCCAGGCCACAACACTACAAATATAAATGTTAGATAGGTAGGAACTAGGAAGAGTAATTTATGAGTACTTTTGGCAGGACAGAATAGTTAAAATAATGGAATAGCTGTTTGTGGTGGTCTCCGCTCTAAAGTGGTGGGAGGCAATCGTTATGTTGTGAGCACGTGCCCACCTTGCATGATACGTACGAATCTATATCGATAATTTTTATACTATAGATTTATAATTTCTATACTATAGATTCATAATTTCTAGATTTTCGGTGAGCTAAAATTTATACTTTAGATTCATAATTTCTAAAACCGTAGAATCCATAATTTAAATACAATAGATTCATAATTTCTATACAGTAGATCCATAATTCTATACTGCACTGATTTGTGAAAACATGGTTCAACAATTAGCTCACCGAGAATCTAGAAATTATGGATCTACAATATAGAAATTATGGATATAGATTCGTGCGCACCATGTACAAGGTGGGCATATGCTCATAGCATAATTTGCCGTTGGGAGGTGGTTGCGCTATTTAATAATATATATATACATGCTAGGCGGATCCGCGGATTTGGCGGTCCCCGTCAGCCTGCCAAGCCTGTCCTACTAAAGCCCGTCATTTTGATAGGGGCGAACTAAAAATCCCATCAAAATATAGACTATAAAATTCAAAGTCCGTCCTATCTTTTTGGCGGGACGGGACAGACTAGTCCGACGGACTAATCCTGTTCTGACGACTCTTAGATCGGCAATTTTTTTGACAATAAATGTATACCACTTTAGAGGGTGGACAACCTCTAGAAAGAAGAATAGAGGTAGATAGAAAAGTTGAGGTGAGAGAGGAAACTGGAATTCAAGGGTGATGCCATTCTCTTTGTTATTACTGATAATTTGACATATACCCAATCTTCAACCATAAATTCTAATTTGACATATACTCAATCTTCAACCATAAATTCTTTGTCTGGTAAGCGCGATACGCATCAAAGAAATAATTGATGGTTTAATTAGTGGAGGATCTAAAAAGATGAATCATATCTAATTAAAGAATAAATAAAAAAATATTAGTATAAGGAAATTATGTATATTAGAATATAACATTACGTTGCATAGTTAGAATAATGGTAGTAACTTAATTATTATAGATCTTAGTAACTTAGTATAAATATGTCAATTGTATTTCAAATTGTATATAAATACGAGGAACCACTCAGAGAAATAGATTGTTATTCTATTATTTTAGTTATTCTCCTTGGAGCTCTCACACGCTCGAAGTGTAGAATTGGAGTTTGCCGTGACTCGCATACGGTTAGGAGCCAGAAGCTTGCTCGAAATGTTTCCTATCCGTTACGGTCCTATCTAGGGTCGTAACAATTGGTGCTTTTATTTATTCCATTAGTGATAGTATCCCCTATCTTTTTAATTTTTTGTTTTTTTTTTTCTTTTTTGTTGCATCCGTTAAAAAAAAAAAAACAAAAACAAAAACAAAACAAAAAAAAAAAAAAACAAAACAAAACAAAACCAACTCACCCTTCCTCAAGTCTGCCGATCAGATCAGTGCACTTCTTTATTAGGCTACGTTGCTCACTGTCCGGCCACCATCATCCAATCAAGCACAATCTTTACCGGCAGCCACAACTTAATTTCTTTTTACTAATTTCATTGTGTACTTGTATTTTTTTAAGTTGTTATTTTGTTAGTGAAAAAAAAATAGTGGAACAGAAAGAAAGAAAAAAAAAATGAGGAAAAAGGTCAAAAATAATTTTTTTTTTTTTAAAGAAGTTCAAAAAAAAAAAAAAACAAGAGAAAATGGAGTGGAAAAATACGGAAAAAAAATTATTTATATTATTATGAAAAATACTACTCGATAATTATTGGTTTCTGTATATCAAGTATAGTATCCAATTGATGATTTTGTATTGTATGAGATCTTTTCTACAAAAAGGTCCGTACAATATATTCATATTTTGAAAGATGAGAGTCACACCTTCCAAGCTTTGCTATGATTTGATTCTATCTTGGATGCATTCATGGCCAAATAAGCTCTTCATGGCAAAAATATTTACGATGGGTACTGACCGGACGCTTTTCGTTAGGGTTCTCATTTTAGATAGCGTCATCAAAAGATTAGATGTGATAGGGTCGTGTTGGGATTTGAGATGTAATGGGAATAAAACGGGGTGAGTGAGAACCACCCCGAGTGTTGTACTCAAGGATGGCAAGTCGGAGTAAATAGAGTGAAAGACAATCACGTGTCACGGTGCATTAACAAGAGATAACAAGGTGCAAGGAGCGTAAGTGGTGTATGGGCAAAAGTGTACGGGGAAGATCATAGCAAAGAAAGTAAATAAGACTAGATTAAAACTAAGCGGGAGTAGGGATTCACTTAGAGAGAGAAATGTGGTAAGGATTGGGTTTCGATTGCATTGTGTGATTGGTCAATCTCGAAATGGGAGATTTGCGGCAATTAGATTGTGCGCTACTAGTCAAGAGAAGTGGATTGCGAATGCGATAGGCGATTCGGTCTAACGCCGCCCGTAGGAACTCTTGCTCTCTATGGGGCATTTAAGCAAACACTTGGCACTCACTTCTTTCCGGGTCTTGCCCTCTCGGATCAAGACGGGGAAATGAAGAGGATCAAGGCTATTCGGATCTAGCAATCTCTTGCCTAGATCTAGGTTTCTAACACCATCCATGGAGTTGTGCCCACTCCAAGAATGTCATAAAGATCATCCTCAACAACAAGACATCCACATAGTCAACATTCAATCAAAAGCCACAATAATCACAAGTTAAATCATCATCACAATAAAAATCTACACCACAATCCTACCCACTAGATTTAGCCAAGCATGATCAAGATCTCAACGATCAAAGGGAAAAAAGAGATATAACAATAAAGCACAAAGTAGATTTTACCCCAATCATTTAGATCCACCGAATACAAATCGTTGAGGAAGATCTACTAGACAAATGCTTTCAATCTTCAAGCTTCTTTGCAAAATCTAGCATACAAGGTGTTTGCTATTGAAGATCTAAATCTCTCTCTCTATAATCCTACTCTAACCCTAGAAAACCTCTCTCTAAATCTAAAAGAACTCTCTAAAAAATGAATTGAACTCCCTTCACAAATCAGATTTTTGCCTTTCAATATCAAGCTTTGATTCGTCCTCCCATTCACGCTGGGTGTCACGCTATGACGCCGGCGTGAATGGGGAATTAATCCCTTCCGTGCTTGAGCTTGTTCGGTGCCTCTAAATCCCATTCACGCGACCCTCACGCCGTGAGGACGGGCGTGAATGAAAAATAATTCTCATTTCGTCCTTCTTCTCGTGCGTAGTCCCGGTGTGTTCGGTCCTTGTTCGCGCGCAATTGTCTCGGCCTTGCCCATTTTGACCTTTTTACCACGTTTTCCATCCAAAAATACCTGAAAACATATAAAATATCATTGGGAAGGTATTTCTTTGCTAAACTGTACTTTTAAGATATTTTACACTAAAGCACAAGACTTTTATATGAAAACGAATGCAAAGCTCCTATAAAAGGCTACTAAAAACTAGCATATTTTGAGGCTTATCAGGTACAGTGTTGTGTTTTAGACATTAAATATCCTGATTTAGAGTTATTGGCTATGTGTGGAGACTTACAGACATACCAAGATGATACTTTGGAATGTCACAATCCTAATTATTCTAATCCAACTTATAAACAAGAACCAAGTAGCCCAGAGTCCAAGAAATCATCAATAGAAACAATTCTTCTCCCAACCACTCACGATGAAAGAAACATTCAGGATTTCAACAACATAGAGTCTCTTGAGGATTATCTTGAGACAAGGACTTGTGACTATTACCTTAGACTTGGAACTCAACATTGGGGAACAAAATATATTTTTAGACGGTGCAAGCCAAAAGGGGAGGCCATTTATGTGTCACGATCAAGCTCGAGAACCATTTCAATCGTTTGGTTTGCCCACTAGCCGCCATCCAAAGTTGCATGGACCGCTTCAACAAAGATTTGTTTATTCTATTCATCTCTCCACCTTGAGGACAAGGTATTTTTTGAAGGGGTAGAGAGTGATACGCATCAAAGGAAAGAAATAATTGGTGGTTTAATTAGTTGAGGGTCTAAAAGGAATGAATCATATGTAATTAGAGGATAATTGAATAAATATTAGTTTAAGGAAATTATGTATATAAGAATATATAATTACCTTGTATAGTTAGAATAATTGTAGTAATTTAATTATTATAGGTCTTAGTAATTTAGTATAAATATGTCAATTGTATATATAAATATGAGTAACCACTCAGAAAAATATATTGTTATTCTAATTTTTTAGTTATTCTTCTTGGAGCCCTCACAAGCTCGAAGTGTGAAATTGGAGTTTGTCGTGACTCGAATGGCAAATGGTCCACACAATGTTATGTGGACCATAACAAAAAGTACATTTTTAATATACTAAATGTACATTATTTTTGTACTAAATGTACATTATACAATATAATGTACACTCAGTACAAAAATAATGTACATCCATTGAATACAATGTACATTATTTTTGTTACTTAACGTTTTTCTTTGTTATAGGAGTAATAAAGAACATAACATACATGGAGTTTATAGGTAAATTCATCTTTAGTAATTTTTATTAAATTTTTAATAAATAGATTACAAAATAAAATATATTTTATGAAAATAAATCATGAAAAATTAAAAACTTGCTATATATATTATATTATAGTGTGAGTATATTAATTATTTTTAAGTTGAAATTTACAAATGGAGGTTTAGATTGTTTGAATGATGTATACATTTATATTTATTAGTGTAAATGTGCAAGTTTATTAAAATTGAAAGTTTATGATGTTAATTTGAAAATGTCAAAAGTTTAAGTGGAACCCACCAATAAGCTTGGCAGCCTGAGATTTTAGAGTCAAGGCAAACAATTCTGAACATGACAAAAAAATTGATTAGCTTGAACCGACAAGTTGGACATCCCGAATCCCAGTAGGGTTAGCCCGAAATCAGTGTTGAAAAAATAGCATAAAATTACATTTTAAGTGGCTATTGTGTGGTACAAATATTAGTGGGGTCCACTTCCAATTTGGGTCGGGTCAAAACGGATAATGGGTGAATGAGAAATTAATTCTCAAAGTAGACCCATTTGAGTTGGAAAAATAAAGGGGAAAGGATTTAAAGTAGCCATTGTCCCACATTGGTTTAGGAAGTGGGTTTGCACCACTTTATATGCAAGAGCCTTTCTAAAGTTTATTAAATTGTATAGTATAAAGGTTTTCTCTTGTGCGCAGGGTGAGTTGCAAATCAAACCCCAAAATGAGCTTGAAACGGATTGCCTTGTGTGCGCTGACACCTATGGGCTTGAGTCGTGTACCATTCAATCCTTCAACTCCTATATAAGTTGGTGTGCGCTGACACCTATGGGCTTGAGCCGTGTACCATTCAATCCTTCAACTCCTATATAAGTTGTAGTTGAGCAGGTGATTTAGAGGCATCAAATAAGGTAAAAACCTACCATATAATCCAGGAAAGTCTTAAAACCTTATTTGTATTATGTTGTCTCTAATTTCCTCGAAGAAATGGAGAGCCCCGTTCTGCCTATCATCAACAACGTTGAAATGAACGTTCGACGTAGTTGTGAACGGAGGGTCTGAGAGAGAACCCGAGCTTGAAGCTAGATGTAGCAAGGGAGCTAGGAGGGAGCTAGGATTGAAAAATCCTTTGGTCCAGATTTTCTGATGTACATGTTAGAATGTGATGCGCATATTCTAACTTGTTTACTAGAAAATGAACCGGATTTTCTCACAAGATTGTTAGAAAACAAACCTCGAATGTATGTAGTAGTCGTGACTTCTACGAAAGGACCAATGTGAAAAGAGGCTACAAAAAGTAAAGTAGATTCTATCTCATAGAATCATACTTGGAACTGCTTGATCTTCCTCCAGGTTGTAAAACCTTTGGATCCTAATGGATCACTAATCGGAAGATGAAACCGGGTGATTTCATTGAAGTACAAGGCCAGGCTTGTAATTGAAGATTACATGCAACACGAGTGTCACGGTTACTCCGATACGTATTCTCTTGTGATGAGAATATAATTTACTTGCCGCAACCGCACTACAAAACTTGGAAGTTCAACAAATGGAAGAGTAAAACCGCTTTCTTAAATGACTTGGAACAACCTTAGGGTTTTATGGTTCCACGCTAGGGAAAGAAAGTGTGTAAATTGGCGAAATCATGGTATGTTTTGAAATAATTGCCTTAGCATTGGCACGTGAAGTTTGTTCATGCAATGATGACCAACGGGTTTAGTATAAACGAAAGTGAAAAATGTGTCTAGGTAAGGCATACGATAGACGGTGATATCACTATTTGTTTATACACGATAAATTCACAGTGGGTAGTCACGATCAAATGATCAAATCTACCAGGAACATGTTAAATTTGAGATTTGACATGAAAGGCATGTGTTTGGCAGATTTAATCTATAAGATTTAAATCGTGAGAAGCTCAGTTGGTCTCGTGTTAAGTCATTCTCATTATGTTGATTAAATCTTTGCAAAAATTTAACAAGGATAATAATCAAGCGGCTTGGACACCGTTAGATACTAACGTACAACTATCTAAAATCACGGAGATTGTGTTTCTCAAGTAGAGTACACTCAGATTATTGGTAATATTAATTGTATCTAAAGAGTTGTACTGGGCCAGATTGCCTTGAGGTTAACAAACTCAGTAGACATACGAGTAACTCCAGTGATATGCACAGGACTGCAATAGTAGGAGTTATGAGATACTTTAGGTATACTCCTGACTTTGGACTGCACTACGCGCGATATCCAGCTATACTTGAAGAATATAGCACGATAACCAGATATAAAACTTTAAGGACGCTAAGTCCATTAGTGGCTACGTGGTCATGTAAGCCAGTGTAGTCGTTTGTGTGGAAATTCTTGAAATAATATTTTGATACCTAGATCCATGATAAAATCTAAGTTTATAGCCTTAGACATGTGTCGCGAAGCGGCTGAATGGCCATGCCATTTTCTTGAAGGATATTCCTAGTTGAGGAAAACTCATACCTCCAATTTTTGTGCATTGCGATAGTCAAGCCAAAATTGGTTTAGTACAGAGTCAGATGTACAATGGTAAGTCTAGACTTATATGTCGTAGACATAATGCCATTTAAAACAATTTCTCACTACTGGTGTTATCTTTATTGACTACGTAAGGTCAAAGGATAACGTATCGGCCGCTAACCTGAAGGTAAGAAAATAGTTGTTAAAGAAATTGAAACGAGGAATGTGACTAAAGCCCTTAGAATAAAAGTTCTATAGTAGATACACATCCTAGCTGGCACCTAGGTTCAACGGGACAACTAAATTATGGAACGAAGTGTGTTACTGTGAGGGGTCTTGGACTCCCTACCACTCCTCGTTAGAATAGTGACTCCCGTATGAGGTTAGCACGTTGATGCTTTAATGATTCGAAATGTTGATTGACATGTGTGAGTATGTGGGATACTCGGTAAAGAATCACATATGTGAGAGGGAAGTGGGGGTCGCTTCAAAGCAAAATAGAATAAGGCTTAATTCTTTAAAAACTCTTACAGAACCAGGAACCGGACCCACAACCAAAACGGGCATAGTCATGAGAATAGAGCATGGTTGGGTGGTTCTTGTGCGGGATATATCATCATCTACATAAATAACAGTCGGTTAAAAGACATCGCATTCTACCATACAGCCAGTAGAGTAAATATATCTTCACAATGGAAAGTTCAAAGGGTAACACCTACCTATCCTATGCAGGGATCGACCATTGAACACAGTTGTTTCCAATTTTAAAACAACCCGAAAATTAATTGTTCATTCATGTGGGAAATTGTTGGAAAAAATAGCATAAAATGGCATTTTAAGTAGCTATTTTGTGGTACAAATATTAGTGGAGTCCACTTTCGATTTGGGTTGGGTCAAAGTGGATTCGGGTTCTTCGTAGTGAGACAAAGAGATTGATATATTGTACGCTCAAAACGGATAATGGGTGAATGAGAAATTGATTCTCAAAGTAAACCCGTTTGAGTTGGAAAAATAAAGGGGAAAGGCTTTAAAGTAACCTTTGTCCCACATTGGTTTAGGAAGTGGGTTTGCACCACTTTATATACAAGAGCCTTTATAAGATTTATTGAATTGTATAATATAGAGGTACTTTTTTGCGCGCAAGGGGGTTGCAAATCAAATCCCAAATTGATCTTGAAAAGGCTTGACTCGTGTACGCAGGCACGAATGTTGTCTGGAAAATTGGCTTCCCTTGCGGACTAAGTTATGACAAATTTTCATATTATTTTTTCCAACACAGAGCCACTCGGCTCAAGATGCTATTGGCTCGACTCGTGGTAGTGGGCTACCATTTGATCAACTCGGGTTTGCCCGAATGGTTGCCCACTCGTACCATTTGGTTGTCTTGGGTTTGGCAGAATGGTTAACCTCTCGGGTACCTCGTCTTGTAACTACGATTCGGGTAGCGACGGGTACCTCGTCTCGTAAGTACGATTCGGGTAGCGATCGTTTCGGGTTTTAATTCATCAGTTTCGGAATTAACTCCAATTTTGAATTATATAGTTAATTCTAAGCTTAATGGTCAGTTGCTACAAAGGTTATATTGACTGGTTTAATATCAGTTATAAATGTCATGATTAAAAGTTGTTTAATCCTTCAACTCCTATATAAGTTGTAGTTGAGCTGGTGATTTTACACACTGAAAAAAAAAAAAAAAAAAAAAAGCTTTCATCTCTCGAAACCCTACTCTTCTGCCATTTGTGTTCTTCCAACGCTCTAGTTCGTCGGGTTCTAAGTTTGAGTGCTCATAACTTAGAAGTGTAGTACGTTTTATCTTGGGAAACCTAGGCTACAACGCTCCTAGCACCTTTGTGAAGCAGCAAATATGGTTTTAAGGAGAGAGTGAAACTCGACTCGTACTAAAAACCTACCATATAATCCCTTTCGTCCCAGTGGTTGTGTTTCCCAGAAATTTCCAGTTTTTCCAGGAAAATAATAATCTTTTTCTGTAGGATTATTATTATGTTTTTTTGACCTTCTGGTCTACAGACAAAACCAAACGGACTAGCCCGATTTACA